TGTTTTTGGTGAGCTCAGGCTTTTCTGTAAAGTATTTTAATAAGATCTAGTAAAAATGCCTAATGTCCGAGGAATGAGTCAGAACAGTAGCAAACGAGTGACTCGTGCCTGTGTTGTGTTGTAGAGGAAGATAGCAGTGGGTGATGAAGAGGACCGCGAGCTGCTCACAGATCTGTACCTGCGGCATGTCATTCCTCTCCCGCAGAGGGATCTGCCCGGCAGCCGCTGGGGGAGGAGGATGGAGCGAAGCCGAGCGCACAGGTAACTTACTGCACACTCTCTCACACATGAAATGATGCTGTAGTGCTTGAAGGAAGAGTTCACCCACAAAAGAAAATTCTATCGCTTATTACATCTAATATAATATGTAATATAATCTACTCCGTGTGTGTTTTTAAGAAATAAATACTTTTATTTAGAACAGATGTATTAAATTTATCAAAAGTGACAGTAATTAGTGTTATAAAAACATTCTATTTACAAAAAATGCTGTTCTTTTGAACTTTATATTCATTAAAGAATCCTGAAAAATTGCATCATGTTTCCACAAAAATGTTAAACAACACAACTGTTTTTAAAGGGTTAGTTCACCCAAAAATGAAAATTCTGTCATTAATTACTCACCCTCATGTCGTTCCAAACCCGTAAGACCTTCGTTTATCTTCGGAACACAAATTCATATGTTTTTGATTAAATCTGAGAGCTCTCTGACCCTCCATAGACAGCAATGATACTGTCACGATCAACGCACAGAAACGTAGCAAGGACATCTGTAAAATAGTCCATGTGACATCAGGGGTTCAACCGTAATTTTACAAAGCTACAAGAATACTTTTTGTGTGTTAAGAAAACAATAATAACATAATTTATTCAACAATTCTTCTCCCCGAGTTACAGTCTTCCGCCATTTTGGAGAGTACCCTAGAACATAATAAACGTAATCAGCGTTGTTTACATTCAGTAGAAAGCGTGTGCATGCTAAGCTTAAACAACGCTGATTACGGACAATATTTGGCCGAGATACAACTATTTAAAAACCTTGAATCTGAGGGTGCAAAAAATCTAAATATTGAGAAAATCACCTTCAAAGTTGTCCAAATGAAGTTCTTAGCAATGCATATTACTAATCAAAACATAAGTTTTGGCATATTTACAGTAGGAAATTTACTAAATATTTTCATGGAACATGATCTTTACTTAATATCCTAATGATTTTTGTCATAAAAGAAAAATCGATAATTTTGACCCATACAGTGTATTGATGGCTATTGCTACAAATACCCCTGTGTTTTGTGTTCCAGGGTCGCATATTTTAAAATATGTAAAACAGAAAGCAGTTATTTTATATTTTAAGAATATTTCACTACATTACTGTTTTGTAATAATCACTGATACTCTTTCTTTTTGCTGAAGCTTTGAAATCTCATTGCCGTTGCTTGTTTGATGACAAAACCTGATTTCATGTTACTTAAAGGTGCACAAGTTTACAGAATGAAAAAAAAAATGATTTGAGAGGTAATTGTGAGAAATAATATAATATTTTATATTTTCATGGCTTTTTTTATGGCTGTGTTATGTACCTGAATGAAAATGTCCAAAGTATTTTCTCTTATATTCTAACTTTCTTTGGTTTCAGTTCAAGAAGTGATAGTGGCAGGAAGAGGCCGTTGATTGTGTTTGACAGCAGCTCTACTAACACTGGCAGTGTTAAGCTGAAGAAACCTGATCCTTCACCAGCACCTGTCACCACAGACCGACTAAAGCCCCCAGTTTCCAGCATCAGTCTCACAAACCCCATACGCAAGCTCTCTGGAACCTCTACAAACTCTTCCTCAAATTCCTCTAACAGGACCCCAGTGTCATCGCCAGGGGCCGGTCCCAAGAGCCCCTGTAATCACTCCAAAACTGCCAATTCCTCGGTACATTCAAACAACACCATGTCTAAACTAAAGCGCACGTCCCCCAGCGATGGAGAACCCAACACTAGTGTGAGTATCAAACTAACACCATGGTAAAAGTGCTTATTTAGCTTGACGGGTGTTCTGTGGTGTAGATAAGAGTGAATCTTTTAGGTTTTCTGATGGTGATTCTTTTATTTTTTGTGGCAGAAGGACATTAAGTCACCTGATACAAAGAAAAAGATTAAACATATCACATGGCCATAATCTGTGAAGTCATCTGGGATGGACAGTTAACGCCACTGACGTCGTCTGCTGGGTCTCTGAGGCAAAGACTGACTCGTGATGAGACACAAGAATTTGAAAGATGGGTTCTTGTCACACATCTCAAGTTGTCACTTTCATCTTTACTTACCAGCCTCAGGAAAGGTGACTTGTGAAATGTGACCCTCTGGTTTATTTCACACTAGGAAGCACTTCTGCTTTTGACTTGATGTGTGCTGAAGGAACTGAGACATTCCTAGCAGTTTTATGTTAGACTGATCAGTTTTTCACTTTTTTTAGCAATATGTTTATAGAAATATCTTTCTTGCAATGAACAAACTTTCCGTTGTGAGTGAATCATGTTGGCGAATCAAACCCACTAAGATGAAAAATGGACATGCTTTCCATTGGTCTGCAGTGTTTTACTGGTATAGGTGTATTCCCAGTAACTGGATGTGCTTGTACCGAGTGGCATTTTGAAGAAATCTCTTATTTCTCCAATAAAATGTTTGCATTGATCATTGTTTTAGATCGGGATAGGCCTGTCCAAGTGCTTTGGTCATTATCTGCTAAATCCCTTGACAGTTTTTGTGTTTCTAGCTCCCAAAGGGCCAAAATACAATTGTAATGTGTGTTGCATCATGCGTTGATGTGTTTAAGTGAGAAAGCGATATGAAGGGTGTTTCACATGTACGTGTTTTAGTGGTGGTCTTTTCTAGACATTATGAATTGAGTTTTTATTGAACTGCATGGAATGTTTCTCGGTGACAACAAGCCTGATAAAATAAATGGCTGAGAGCATTGATCACAGTGTTTGCGATTCTTTTTTTTTTTAATTAAGTCAAGAATTACCCCTGAAATTATAATATTATAAAAAGTATAATACGCTTAAGTTAATAATGGATCAGTGAAATGTACAGTCAATATCCGTAAAATAAAAGTTAGTTTATTAAATACATGAAATTTTGCACATATATTGTTGCTCTTTTGTTAGTTTTGACTGCTTTTATTGTCCTCATTTATAAGTCACTTTGGATAAAAGCGTCTGCTAAATGACTAAATGTAAATGTAATATGAATTCCATAGCTGTCCTGCTTTGTTCGCTACTGTTGAACAGTTTGGGGTTGGTAGGTTGTTTTATATATATAAATATATTTACTTACAGTATTACTGCTCTTATTGTGTTAAATGCAGCCTTGGTGAACATGAGACCGATTTCAAAAACCTATATATATATATATACACAGTGGCATGCGATCTGTTTTGACATATTTTAAAATGTCTTTATTCCTGTGATGCAAAGAGTTTTCAGCATCGTTACTCTATAGTCTTCAGTGTCATGTGATCTTTCATAAATCATTCTAATATGCTTTTCACTTTTAAACAGTTAATGCACCCTACAAAATTACTGACCCAAACATTTTTGGAGTTTTGTAATGAATTTAAATTACATTTGTGACCCTGGACCACAAAACCAGTCTCAAGTGTCAATTTTTCGAAATCGAGATTTATACATCACCCGAAAGCTAAATAAATAAGCTTTCCATTGATGTATGGTTTGTTAGGATATGACAATATTTGGCTGAGATACAACTATTTGAAAATCTGGAATCGGATCAGTGAAATGTACAGTCAATATCCGTAAAATAAAAGTTAGTTTATTAAATACATGAAATTTTGCACATATATTGTTGCTCTTTTGTTAGTTTTGACTGCTTTTATTGTCCTCATTTATAAGTCACTTTGGATAAAAGCGTCTGCTAAATGACTAAATGTAAATGTAATATGAATTCCATAGCTGTCCTGCTTTGTTCGCTACTGTTGAACAGTTTGGGGTTGGTAGGTTGTTTTATATATATAAATATATTTACTTACAGTATTACTGCTCTTATTGTGTTAAATGCAGCCTTGGTGAACATGAGACCGATTTCAAAAACCTATATATATATATATACACAGTGGCATGCGAAAGTTTGGGAACCCCTTGCAGAATTTGTGAAAATGTGAATAATTTTAACAAAATAAGAGAGATCATGCAATGATTTTTGGCATAAAAGAAAAATCGATAATTTTGACCCATACAATGATTTTTTTGGTTATTGCTACAAATATACCCCAGCGACTTAAACTGGTTTTGTGCTCCAGGGTCACATTTAGTTCTGAATGGTGCACAAGCCTGGTTGTTCTTGATCCAGGTTTAGGCAGAGATTTCCTGTCAATCGGTGAAGAAATGGTCATAATGAGCAAAGTGCACGAAGCCTTTTTGAGTGTTGGCCAATTACCTGTTTTTCCACAATAATGGCTTCTATTGTGCTGCTAGATTTGTCCGTTTCATCTTTTCAGCATTGTTTCATTTCTTTGTAGGTCTTGTAACTCCAGTCAGAGCTCACCGAACTTGCACTTTGTTCTCTTTCGCTCTTGTCAGCTCTCTCATTCTGTCATTCATCTCTCACTCTTGTCTCTATTCTGCTTTCAAACACTCCACTGTCTCTTATTAAAGAATAGAGATGCCTGTTTTCCATGCAGTTGCTTCTCAGACTTTTGTCCCAGAGGAGACATTGAAATCACAGAATGAAACATTTCTCCTTCCCCAGGGGAAAAGTGAAGTTTGCATGTTTTCCTGAATTCCTATAACCAAATCCTATTACAATATGAACCAAACACGGCTTATTCTAAAATGTTAAACATAGTAATAAGAACTAAGTCATCAAAACTATAAAACGATGCAAATGGATGTGAAACACTTGTTGAATGCTTTCCCTTCACTATGTGCTCCAGCCGCAAGAAATTCAAACCTAGGCAAAGTTTACATTAGTCTGCAGAACTCATTTCAAGCATTAAAGCATAATAGTTAAAGTTTTTTGACAGAATATATTTTGCATATGCCCTGATAAGAGGATGCACATTGTTTTGCACGGACATTGTCAACACTAGGTGGCTCTATTGTCCTGTTTTATTGTTTGAGCTGTACTGAGTGCTTGCTAGTGCAATAGTTCAGTTCATGTCATTCAATTAGAGAAACAAAAAACATGTAGTCTATTTCTTTTAATAAGCTTTACTGATATTGCATATGTACTTTATTTAGAATTCATCCTTAACTGTTAGATACACAAAAAGACCAAAATGCTTTTTTTGCACGTTAAGACATGGGTTATGCAACACATCAGAGAGCTGGTTAGACATTTGAAAGAGATATTAATGGTATCCTCACTTTTACAGTTTAATCTTTAGAACCAATTCTTTCCTCAGTCTTCATGTTAACACAAGCTGAAATAACTCTCCTGAAATAAAGAAAATCTGCCTCTTGCTATACATACACTATTATAATCTTTGCTACAACAATGTTTGCTATGTTTCCATGGAGTACCTAAATGTATTCATTGTTCACACTGTTTCATGCTTTGCCAATGCTTTGGTTTTAACATTTCAAGCATGTCATGCATGCTTGGACTGTTTCTTGCACACTTTCACATGTCTTTGCCACACTCAGGACACAGGATGTCATCTCTCTCGGTGAGGAAACCTCTGCCCACCAGAGACACTGAGCACTTCTTGCAGTTGAAACAGTCGTTGTGCCACTGGCGCTCCTCAAAGGAGATGTACTTGCTTCCTCCAAGTCCTACATGTGATTGCAAACAAGTTATGAGCACTGGCAACAAAGAGATGTAGCTGTATTGCATAACAGTTCATGGATGCTGGTAGATTTGAGCTAAATGACCATTTTTATCCTGTTTGCTACACCAGTGTTATTTTAGTATCACTTATACTATCATAGCATTTGTTAATATTATGAATTGGCTTTTATGTTTATGTTCAGTTTTCTTTTTAATAAAGCAATAATCCCCAAGAAGCCGTGGTTTACAGTGAATTTATAACAGCTAAGAGGCGTTGTTAGGCACGACGCAAAGCGGAATGCCTAAAACCCCCTTAGCTGTTATAAATTCACTGTAAACCACGGCTTCACGGGGTTTATTGCTTTATTAAAAAGAAAACTGAACATAAACATAAAAGCCAATTTTGTAACGTTAATTCCATATACGTAGTAAGGTTTCACAGAATAAAACAAAAGCAAATAAAGCGTAATGATATAGATAAAAACAGTATTCTTCCACCAAACAATGTAGTTCCTCAGAAACAGTTGTGGTTCCAACAAAGTAGTTGCCGAGCAACACACAGAAGTAAACAAGGGTGTATGTTTGTAGTGTAATTTACAACAGCTTCGAACGCGGCTCAACCAATCAGAATCAAGGACCGGAACTATCCGTTTTAGAATTTTAGTTTTAGAATTTTTCTTATGTGCTGTTGTCATTTTTACAGTATGTTTATAAATAGCTCTGTTTAGCTTTCATTTACTTTTATTTCAGTTTTAGTTGTAATACTTCAACTCAAACTTATTCAATTAGTTGCAAAGGTAGCAATTCTAATTTTAAGTTTTTAAGTGTACATTTTGAATCTGATATTTGTGTTTTATTTTTATTTCAGCTTTATTGCAATTAACAAAAAAATATTCATAGTAGTTTAAGTTTTAGCTAACAAAAACGACACTGTGTTACACTGGATTACATTCAAGAATGGACTTGGAATTGAAATACATTCTCAATTTAATTCTGAATGGCACACAACCCTGATTTCAAACAATCAGACATGATCGGTTCGATCGGAATTAAGGTAATTCCGTATAGAAGCTATTTCTATTTGTAGTTCCATTTGTTGGATTGTGCATACCACTGATGGGGGTGGTGCAGGAGGCACATTTCTTGGCATACAAGTTGCAGAAGCAGTTGAGGCAGTAGGCAAAGTCATCACGAGAGGTGAAGCGCTGGCCAGACAGCTGCTGCTTACAGCCAGTGCACAGGAAACAGTCCTTGTGCCATGGCTGGTCATGGTACGTCACACCTCCAGTGGTGATGGGCTACACAGACAAGAAAGGAGATGAAGACATTGACTATGATCAAAATAACATACTTCCCTGTTATGTATTCCTACTACTGTTATCTGTATGCATAGAATAGCTTGATTTTGTGACTGCATGGACTGTATTTCACTCATAGTTGACTGGTGTCTTAATGTTTAATGTACTTGTAGCTTGTATATTTAACTCCTGTGTTGTAGTTCATAGGTTACTTCAACTGTGACTCTACCTTCTTGCAGTGAACACACTGCATGGCAAACTGCTTTTCGTAGCAGGGCACGCAGTAGTTATGGTTGTCTTTGGGGATGAAGCTCTTGGTGCCAATTGGCTGCTGGCAGCGCTGGCAGGTAAAGCAGGTCTCATGCCAGCTGTTTCCTTTATGCTCCATCTTCCTGGAGCCTGAGGGAGAGAAGAGAGCCATCTTAACCCAAATGCAACAGCATTCTGCTTATGAAGTGAAGCATGTTAAAACGATACTGTGATCCATAACACTCAAGGTACATATTATGAAATTATAATGAAAGATGGAGGAAGTTGGTAGATATATGTCCTTGTCCAAAATATCAGGTCATGTTACACTAGAATATCAGATACTTTCTATGCCCTCATAATTATATCCAATTATAATATTTAGTCCATGTATTTTGTAAAGTATGTTACCGTTCAAAAGTTTGGGGGTCTGTACTATGTTTAATGTTTTTGAAAAAAGTCACTTATGCTCACCAAGGATGCATTTATTTGATTAAAAATGTAGTAAAACACTAGAAATGTAAATTCAGTGTAACAGAAAGTTCAG